CTTCCTTCTATGGGTGGTAACTCCCTGAGTTAGTCAGAGACTCACTTGCAGGCGGCAAGGAGACCCACAGGACAGGATTCCTTAGAGGCGGGGCAGGGTGAGTCCACAGGGTGCCAATTCCAGCTTAATAATGGTGCTTTCTCTTCTTAATTTTCTTTGGTCCAGCATGGTTTGCCAGGTTCTCATCAGTTTTTATCTGGTGGTGACCAACGAGACCTGTATCCTAGAATACATTCAATAAAAAGAAGAATTAAACCAGGCAGAGTGGTACAGGTCTTTAAATCCCAACCCTCAGGAGGCAGAAGCAAGAGGATCTCAGAGTTTGGGGCCAGCCTGGTCTAGAGAGTGAGTTCCAGGACAGCCAGAGGTATGTAAAGGAACACTGTCTCCCAACAGAAGAAGAAAGTGCAGAAGGAGGAGGAGGAGAAGCATTCAGGCCTATAGAGACAACTGAGCTGGCAGAGTGCCGTGTCCTGCATAGCTTGGTCCTGGAAACTTGGCTGGGGCAACAAGGGATCCAAGAAAGGAAGACACGCTTATGGGAAAGCTGGGGTCAGGTGAGTTGCGCTTACTCTGACGGGGTACACCTGCTACACACTACTCAGACTCTTAGCGTGTTTATCGCACGCAGCATAGAAGGAGGCCTTAGCTAGCGGCAGGAGTAGGAGGTCTCTGTCGGGAGCAGTGTCAGGCTGTGAACGCCTGGAGGAGGAAGCTGCGGTTGCTAGCTTTTCACACACTGGTCAATCGCTCACAGACACAGTTCTTACACACACTGCCAACACTCGCATTCAGACCCGAGGGAGGCTTTCCCATCCCTCTGGCCCCTCACTCGGGGAAGGCTTTGCCACTGCCATGATCTGAGGATTTGAACCTTTGACACGACTGTGCCCACGTCAGACAACACACACACTCACCCAGGACTTCATTGATTTGTTTGTTTGTTTGTTTTCCAAGATAGGGTTTCTCTGTAGCTTTTGGAGCCTGTTCTGGAATGCACTCTCTAGAGCAGGCTGGCCTCGAACTCACAGACACATGCCTGCCTCTGCCTCCCCAGTGCTGGGATTAAATGCAAGCACCACCACCACTGCCCGACTAGCTTCATTGATTCTTTACATATTCACTCAAGGGTTTCTCAGCTCCCCAAAATCAAGGACCTGCCATCGAGCATGGGGCCCTGAGTCCAGATCCGCTGGGCACTGTGCATGCTCTGTAACGGGCACAAGTGGGATGGAGACAGCCTAGGCAAATCAGTGGGTTCCAGCTTTGGCGAGAAACTATCTCAAAATAAAAATGTTGGAGAGCCAGGCACGATGGCGCACGCCTTTAATTTCAGTGCTCAGGAGGCAGAGGCAGGCGGATCTCTGTGAGTCTGAGGCCAGCCTGGTCTACAGAGTGAGTTCCAGTCCAGACAGAGCTACATAGTGAGATCCTGTTTGGAAAATAAAAAGAAATAAAATGACGAGCCACTGAAGAAGACATTCAGAGTTGACCTTGAGCTTCCACACTCACATTCATATATGTATATACCACACATGCACACACAGGCACACACACACACATTAGACACACACACACAATCTTTAAAAAAAAAAGATTAGGTTTAAATGATCAAACTTAGAAGGACCTCCTGGAAACAAAATGCAACGTGGCTCGTCACACTTCTCTGTGTGTGTGGTGTGTGTATGTGGTGTGTGTGTGTATGTGTGGTGTGTGTGTGTTGCTGGGGAAGCAAAGCAGAGACTCATGCATACACAAGCGTGAAATCACATCCCAAGTCCTCTGACCTGTGTACTTTTGATTCCTTGGTTTCTCCTGTATGATTAATTGATACGGGATTTCCCTCTGTATGCTGTGAATACCATTGGTTAATAAAGAAACTGTTTTGAGCCTATAGCAGAGCAGGGCAGAACAGAGCTGGCGGGAGTGGGGAGGTTGACTAAACTGAATGCTGGGAGGAAGAAGGCAGAGTCAGGAGAAGTCATGGAGCCGCCGCCAGAGACAGACATGCCCAGACTTTGCCCGTAAGCCACAGCCACGTGGCGATACCCAGACTAATGGAGATGGGTTAGTTTAGGATATGAGTTAGCCAGAAATATGCTTAAGCTATTGGCCAAAGAGTATTGCCAATAATATAATCTCTGTGTGGTTATTTCGGGGCTGAGCAGCCCGTAACAAACAAGCAGCCTCTTACAACAACAATTAATTGATATGGTCAGTTAAGAAATGATCATATGAAATGCTAATCAGTTAATATGATCCAGCAGGATGGAATTCTACAGAACTGCAATGCTGTGGGCCTTGCAACATGGCTGAGTGGAGCTGCCCATGGCTGTGTAGAAGTCTGGGTCTGAAGGAAGAACAAGATGATAGCTGTACTCTGCACTTTCATCCGCACGGGCACAGTTCTTAAGATCCTGTGGACGGGTGTGAGGGACAAAGTCCCCTGCTGGCCCTGGAAGGTGAAGCAATCACCCCGCAGGGTGGGTTCTGATGGAGGGCCTCATGGACGCCAGGGGGCATCCTGGTCCGGATGATTATCTAGGACACGTGCACTCCCCTAAGGGTAAGTTGAAGAGTCTCCCATGGAAAGCATTTGAGATGAGGAATACAGAGCACCAAGTGGTCTCTTGGTACATGTTGCAAGAATAGATTTAAAAAAAATAAATAAATAAGAACGGTAAAAAAAATTAGGAAGAAAAATGGAAACCTGGAAAATTATGGAACAAATGATGGATCTGTGAGTGAGCCCACTCTTTGTTTAACCTACATTCAAGTGACCCACATGACAGACAGGACGCTAGGAATAGGAATCGCCATGATCAATGCTGTGAGAAGGTGTACTGGATGGTTTTGTGTGTCAACTTGACACAAGCTGGAGTCAGCAGAGGAAGGAGCCTCAGCTGAGGAAATGCCTCGAGGAGATCCAGCTGTAAGGCGTTTTCTCATTTAGTGGTTGATGCCAGAGGGCCCAGCCCATGGTGGGTGGTGCCTTCCCTGGGTTCTATAAGAAGGTGGGATGAGGGGCTGCAGAGGTGGCTCCGTGGGGCAGATCACTCACTGCTGTTGCATAGGACCCGGGTTCAATCCCCAGTACCCATATGGGGGTTCACAACCATCTGTAACTCCACTCCCGGGGACCTGATGCCCTCTTCTGACTGCCCTGGGCACCAGGCATTTAGGTACTCTGCATACACATGCTCGGGTACACACATAAGTAGACACATCTTTAAATAAATAAATAATAAAAGAAGATGGACTGAGCAGACCATGGGAAGCAAGCCAGGAAGCAGCTCCCCCCCCATGGCCTCTGCATCTGCTCCTGCCTTCAGGGTCCTGCCCTGCGTGAGCTCCTGTCCTGACTTCCTCCAGTGAAGAGCAACAGCAAATGAACCCTTTCCTCCCACAGCTTGCCCTTGGGTCCTGGTGTTTTGTCGCAGCAACAGAAACCCTAAGACACCGGCATAGTGGGGTATGGCTGCAACACACCTGATCATGTTTTGGGGAGGATTGTGAAGGGACTTTGGGCTAGAAAAGCCATTGAGTGTTGAGGCCTCGATAGGCTGTTGTGTGGGAAGATGAGAACGAGAGAGTACTACAGAGAATGGATGCCTGGCTTGCGGAGTTTCTGAGGGAAGTTTAGAGACTCTGGGGGCCACTGGTTATTCTGAATTATATTGACTAAGATCCTGCAGTTCTGGCTAGCTGGGGCTGAAGAATCAACTGTGATTCACAAGATCCCAGAACGACTAAAGCAAACTTTTGTTTTGCTGGGATACTTGATGCTGGTCGGCTGGAGCTAAGACATCAGCAGTGATGAAGAAGAGACCAGCATCACTGAGGTGAAATCTTCTGGGATGCGTTTCCTGAGAGCACAGAGGAACTGTGCTGCAGAGGCTGCTCAGGCTGAACCTCATTGCCGGCAGTTGAACTCGGTACTGCGTAAGGTCACCCAGGTGGTACTGGGTTTGCAGGCGTGAAGGGGTCACAGAAAGCACCTAAGCTTGGCACTGTGAGAGGCCAAGAGAGATCATTGATGAGGGCACAGCCCCAGTGGCAGTTGAAGGCCCAGGACTGAAGGGGTTCATGCAAAGATGTTGAGGTTTGGCACCCCGAGAGCCTGTGAAAGGCTTCTAGTGAAAGCGCAGCCCAGTCGCAGCAGAAGACCCCAGCATTGGAGATGCCAGTACCATAGGATGTTCATCATAAAGTCCAGCATCAATGGAGGAGTACCAGTCGGGATCTAGAAGACAAGTTGTGTGTGCTTTAGAGACAGAGAAGTGACCCAAACCCTTTGCAGGAACCCAGAAGATCATGCGTGGACCTCAGACACTGGACAGTTGGAGTTGCTTGGCTTTGACTGCAGGGAGGGGGGTGAAAATAGGCCTTAATTTGTATGTGGGTCAATAGAGGTGTGATTTTCTTTTAAAGATTTGTTTATTATGCATACAGTATTCTGTCTGCATGTATGCCTGCAGGCCAGAAGAGGGCGCCAGATCTCATTACAGATGGTTGTGAGCCACCATGTGGTTGCTGGGAATTGAACTCGGGACCTTTGGAAGAGCAGCCAGTGCTCTCTTAACCTCTGAGCCATCTCTCCAGCCTGAGATGTGATTTTTCAAGTGGACTGGATTTGTTAAACAGAGGAAGGGAGGTAGTGGCTCTTGAGAAATCATCTCACTTGGGCTCAGTAAAGCTAACTTGAGGCTGCACACAGCCAAGAGTTTGTGGATTGTCCTTGTCACTTGCTTCTACCACCCACCTATAGCCACGATCAGGGAGGCTGCACACCACGTGCAGTCTCCTCTGCAGTGCTCCCTGAGACGGGAGAAACGAGCGTTCGCCGTCTTCTCCTGCCCTGCCTGTGTTGGCCCACGTGAGTGTTCCTGCCTTGAAACGGCGTTCGTTCCCTCTCTGCAGCTAGGAGGGACCAGCCAGAGAGGGGAAGAACACTGTGGTCCACAAGTCGTGCAGCAGAAGGAAGACTTGGTGTCACTTACTCTTACTAAAGAAGTCCGGGAAATTGGCTTGCACCACTCTCTCGTTGAGGGCCTGGGTCTTGCGGTAGATGTTATGAAGGGTCTCGTTGTGGTCGTTCTTAATAGTGTTCTCCATATTCACAACCTGCAGACAACATGAGGTGACTTATGGGGAAAGCATTTGGTGAGTGATTGGATAGATGCTCCCATCTGTGTGATCTGGCAGAGGGTTGGACCCCCTCGGGCGCAGCGCCCCGCGACACCCTTTCCTCGGGATCTTGCCCGACCATCCTTTTGTCTTCCCGCAGGAGTGTTTGGTTCACAGAATAAAAGTGATGAGTAACAGAGAGATATCAAGGGGCAAGCTCAGTGCTCGTTTTTCTAAAATTATATTCTGTCTACATCCTTGAAGTATTTGTTTCTTGTTTCTGCATGACAATGTCTAGGTTCTTTGTTCATGTCCCTCCTTCTTTTTCAAGACAGGGTTTCTCTGTGTAACAGCCCAGCTGTCCTGGCACTCACTCTGTAGACCAGGCTGGCCTTGAACTCAGAGATCTGCCTGCCTCTACCTCCCAAGTGCTGGAATTAAAGGTGTGTGGGCTTTTATTTTATAATTTAGACAGGGTCTCACTACATGCTCCTGGCTGGCCTGGAGCTCACTCTGTAGACCAGGCTGGCCTCGAATTCAGAGATCTGTCCGCCTATGCCTCCCAGTTGCTGGAACTACAGCCATGCACCCCACACCTGGCTGAATCTCTCCTGGAACTTGAGACATCGGCTAGCTCTCTCCTCCACCCTCCATCTCTCCTTGCTACTTTGCACATTTCCACCTCCAGTCCTCTTTGTGCCATGGTTAGACTGTTTTTCTACCTGTCTTCCAATTTACTAGCTGTCTCTTGAATTAAATCTAACATGCTATTAACCCTTTCATTCAGTTGCTAATTGTGGCTAATCTAGTTTCATTCCTAAAAATCCTATTTGGTTTTTATTCTCAAGTCTAGTTGATCATTTTGTACTTTTCCCCCCCTATATTTAAATCTCTTATTTCTTTATACATATCAGATACCCTCACATTATTTGTCTGGTAATTCCCTGTCTGAAATCTTTGTAACTCTGCCTCAGATGGTCCTCATTCACACTGTCTTTCTCCTTGTGTTGGTAGGTTGGTAGGTAGGTAGGTTGGTAGATTAGTAGGTAGATAGGTAGTAGGTTAGTAGGTAGGTAGATAGGCTGGTTGGTATGTTGGTTGGTAAATAGGTTGGTAGGGAGGGAGGTTTGTAGGTAGGTGCATAGGTTGTTAGGTAGATAGGAAGGTTGGTAGAGAGGTTAGTAGGTAGGTTTGTAGGTAGGTTGGTAGATAGATAGGTTGGTAGGTAAGCTGGTAGGCAGGTTGGTATGCAGACTGACTCGTGTCTGGACTATTTATTATTCTGAAAGGCAGAAGACAGCTGATAGAGCGGTTCTCCTCAAAAGGCTGAGTATAGGGCTGGAGACATGGCTCAGTGGTTATATGCTCTTGTTGCTCTTGCAGAGAACCTAAGTTTGGTTCCCAGCACCACACAGCAGCTTCTAAGTTCCTGTAACTCCACATCCCAGAGCTCGGATGGCCTCCTGCATGCACGTGGTTCATAAAGACACCCTCCAATACGACAGGCATACACTCTGGTGCACACACATACAAACTGGAATTACTAACTATTTATAAAGCTGTGTTTAAAACAGCAAAGAACTGAAGCACCCCTTGGCCTAGGGCACGTAAGAGACGGCGCGTGGCCAAGTCAGCTTGAGAACATTTGTCTTCACCGTCCGCCTCTTTCACATGGCTTGGACTCAAGACCTTTCACTGCATCGAATCCAAGCTCTTTGGATCAGCTGGGGCCTCCAATGCCCATGCCCACCTCAGTGACTGAAAGTCACCCACAGTTCCATGGGCAGGGGGGTGGTAGTGTTTGTCCCGGCTAGTTTTATGTCAACGTGACATAAACTAGCGTCATCTGAAAGGAGGGACCCTCAATTGAGGCAATGCCTCCATAAGGTACAGCTATGGGGCCTTTTCTTAATTAGTGACTGATGGGGGAGGGCCCTGCCCATTGCGGGTGGTGCCACCCCGTCTGGTGATCCTGGGTTCTATAAGAAAGCAAGCAGAGGGGACTGGAGAGATGGCTCAGTGGTTAAGAGCATTGACTGGTCTTCCGGAGGACCTGGGTTCAATTCCCAGCACCCACGTGGCAGCTCACAACTGTCTATAACTCCAGTTTTGGGGGACCCAACACCCATGGCAAAACACCCATGCACATAAAATAGAAACAAAGTTTAAAAAAAGAAAAAGAAGGCAGGCTGAGGAAGTCACGTGAAGCAAACCAGTAGGCAGCAGCCCTCCATGGCCCCACATCAGCTCCTGTCCTGACTTCCTTCAGTGATGACCAGGGCTGTGGAAGTATAAGCCTAATAAACCCTTTTCTCCCCAAATTTCTCCAGTCACGGTGTTTCACCACAGCAATAACAACCCTAAGACCATATCATAGCCTATGTGCATCAAATACAGAAGAATGAGGCAGGCTCCTGGAAGAAGCCTTGTTAGCCAGACAGTCACAGGGAGGCTTTGGGGACGTGGAGCCGCTGTTACCTGGGTCTTAGAGAGCTTGACGGTATCATGGAGCACAAACCACTGGACGTTCTCGGTGCAGGGGGGAGTGGTGAGCGAGCCTTCGTAGGTGTAATAGTGGAACGTGTCTTCAGGCAGCAAGTTATAAATGTTAATGTTTTTCAGGGTTGTGATTTGTCCTAAGAGAGAAGAAACGGTATGGAATGGGACGGAGGGCTGCTGCCCCAGGAGGGACAGCACGGGCTCTGTCTCAGCATGGGCGCGGTCAAGTCCTCTGCCGAAGCCCAAGGAGCTGATGACCAAAACGCCACACACACACACACACACACACCCGCTTACTGCTCTGTGGATGGGTGAAGAGTAGAAAACAAAGCCTGGGGGTGCATGTGTGTAGTTCTAGCACTTGGGAGACGGAGGCAGGGGGATGTCCATTAATTCAAAGCCAGCCTGGATTCTAAAGGACTTCCAGAGGCTTGAAGAGGCTCAGCAGTTAGGAGCATGTACTACCCTCCCAGAAGCCCAGTGTTCAGCTCTTAGCACTTATATCAGGTGACTTACACAGCTGGTCACTCCACCTCCAAGGGATCATGGCTAAAGTTATAGGATCTGAGGGACACTTGGCTTGTGAGATGGGTCTGGGATCTGAACTTGGGTCCTGATGACTGTGGAAGAGGCGCTCTTAACTGCTGAGCCATCTCTTCACCCTCTATACAGAATACTTTTTAAAATTTATTTTATGTGTATGAGTGTTTTGCCTGCATGTATGTATGTGCACCATGTGCATGCCTGGTGCCCAAAGAGGTCAGAAGAGGACCCTGGATCCCCTGAAACAGGAGTTACAGGCAGTTGTAAGGAGCTAGGAATCAAACCCAGGTCTTCTGCAAGAGGAGCAAGTGCTCTTAACCACTGAGTGTGGAGACATTTCTGGCCTCTGCGGGTGTGCCTGAGCACACAAACACCCATACACATAAATAATTTAAAATTCCATATTTAAGGGCTGGAGAGATGGCAATGGACAAGAACTTATACACAAGTTTCTCAAAGGTCTGTTTACCCCCTAAACCTACAGCAGAAAAGGACTGGAACAAGGTCTCTCAGGCAAAGAGACCCGAACCTCCCTCCAGAGGGCTGAGGCTTCCCTACCACCCCACACTCAATCCTCTCCCTGCCGTGGGCATTCCTTACCCGTATACTGGATGTTGAGCAGCTCAGAAATGAGGGGGCTGTAGTAGGTGTTTTCCTCGTATTCGTTGATCTGGGAGAAAGCACAGAACACTCAGTATGAGGGAGAACTACCTCACAAAGACACACACGCACCAGCTGCTTGGTTTCCTAGCTGGGAAGGCTGAGCAGAAAACAGGGAGGTCATGTGACTCAGCTGGGCTGGTGGGGATAAGATGACTGCTTCTTGCTACCACCTACCTGGGCTCTGACCTCAGGGCTTCTGGAAGACAAGATGTCCCAGGCAATGCTGCTCCTGTAGCCCTATTGCTAGGTGTGAATGTTGATTTCATTGACTTATTTTAATGTGTGTCAGTTTGCCTGTGTGTCTGTATGTGTACCGTCTTCATGCAGTGCCCTTGGAGCCCAGAAGAGGGCACCAGACCCACCTGAACTGGAGTCACAGGAGGTTGTGAGCTGTCATGTGGGTGCTGGGAACTGAACGCCCATCCTCCACATGAGCAGCAGACTCGAACCACTAAGCCATCTCTCCAGTCCAGTTTTTTTTGTTTGTTTGTTTTAAGATGAAAGTAAAAGTTGCTTTTGGTGTAAATGGCATATTATTTATTTGCCAAACAAATAATTATTTTTATCAGATAATAATTATTATCAGAAGCTGCTGATTTGGTTGGTTTGGGTTTGATTTTGTTAGTTTTGTTTTGACAGGGTTTCTCTGTATAGTCCTGACTGTCCTGGAACTCACTCTATAGACCAGGCTTGGCCTCCAATTTGGAGATCCTCCTGCCTCTGCTGCCTCCTGAGTGGTGGGATTAAAGGTGTGTGTGGCCACCACCCAGTTTGATTTTGGTGGGGTTTTTTTGTTTGTTTGTTTTGTTTTTTGGGTATTTGTTTTTTGCTTTTTTATTTGTTTTGGTTTTTCAAGACAGGGTTTCATTGTTTAGCTCTGGCTGTCCTAGAACTCACATTGTAGACCAGGTGGCCTTGAACACACAGAGATCTGCCTGCCTCTGCCTTCTGTGTGCTGGCATTAAAGGCATGCACTGCCTGGCTTGATTTTGTTTTTTGAGGTAAGGTCTTGTTGTGTAGCCCGGGCTGCACAGACCATGGTGGCTGCAGACTTGCGGCAATCCCTCTGCTCCCCGAGGGCTGGGATTATAGTCAAGCACCACAGATCATTTAGATCCCATTGACTTTTTCTCCTGGGATTACAGGCTTACACCTTCACAACCAGCTTTGTTTTTATCTTTTGAGATAACTATAGAACCAATTGGGTATTTCATTTTGTTTGTAAATTTATCCAGTTTAATGTTAAGCTTTTGGAGAATTCAATTCCTGTCTACTTTAAAACATTTTTTTTAGATTTATTTATTTTCATTTTATATGTAAGGGTATTTTGCCTGCACGTGTGTCTGTGTACCATGTGTGTGCCTGGTGCCCTCAGAGGCCAAAAGAAGACATCCGATCTCCGGGAAGTGTTTGCAAAGTGCCACGTGAGTGTTGCGACTGGAACCTGGGTCTTCCGGTGCTCTCAAGGACTGAGCCTTCTCTGCAGCCCAGATTCCTGCCTGCTCCTAGTCACCTATCCCGAAGTCCATCACGCGGACTTTTTTAGAAGCACAGCGCTGGTGCCTTTGTCTGACCATACTGGACGTTTCACACAGCTCATGGACCAGCCTGTGTCCAGTCAACCCTTCTGCGCTCCCGGGTTCCTCTGAGTCCTCTTATTACCCAGGGTTCCATGGTTCAAAACACAGGAGCAAGCAAGGACTGGCAAAGGTCAGCCCTCCACTGACAGAGCTTTCCTGGGAAAGCTTAGGACAGGACTGAGAGAAAGAATGGGGACAAGGTATCATTCAGACCCTTGGGCTGCTATGCCCTCCTTTGGACGCGCCGGCCTAGGAGCCTGGGTGCAGACCCACGACGTAGTTCCAGCTTACCTCCACAAGAACTGCCAGCACAGCCAAACCGTCGGGCTGGCTCTTGGCCTCGTCGAAGTTCTCGTACTTGGAATTGTAGTGAACAAAGTGGATCTGTGAGCGAGAGAAAGCAGGTCAAGGGCAGTGTATGAGGACTCCATACCACGAAGGGTTCCCAGGGGGAAGGGAAAGGATGGAAAACGGTCCAGCCTCGACTACTCCACACAAACAGCGCCGATGTCCCTCTGCCTGGGCAGGCTGCAAGCCCAACTACCAAGACCAGAAACTTCTCTGAGAATGGAAAGAGGGAAGCAGGGTTCTGGAAGGTCGCTGTTCTGTTTGCCTTGACCCAGCCTCCCTCCTGGTAGACGCTGGAGTCACTCTGCCCTCCTCGGGCCTCTAGGTGGATTGAGGAGCAAGGGAGCAATGAACTCCCCTCCCTCGGGAAGCCACTGTGAGCCTGAAATCAAGGCAAGGAGGGATGCAGGCCAAAGAGGTTCTAAAATTCTAACACACAAATCCAGCGGAAGCAGAGGAAGGCCTGGCACCATGCAGGCGAGACACTCCTGCCACGCTGCAAGTTTCTGAAGAGAGAATCCATCTAGGTTCCCTCACAGAGCAGTGCCCAGTAAGTTCTCAACGAACTGCAAATAAACTACAGGGTGACTGAACCATCACGGTACCACCACGATTGCACAGTCGTATTGGCTAGTTCAGTAAGAAAGGGAGAGCCAATGGGGCTAGAGAGAGGGCTAAGAGCAATGGCTGCTCTTCCAGAGGTCCTGAGTTCAATTCCCAGCAACCACATGGCGGCTCACAACCATCTGTAATGAGATCTGAGGCCCTCTTTATTATTATTTAAGAGAGATGACTCAGTTGGTAAAGCCATTGTTGTGAGAGCATGCAGAATTTAGTTCAATCCTAGCACAGCTATACATGCCTGTAGTCTCAGCACTGAGGCCAGTAGTAATAGGATTCCCGGGGTTCAATAGATAGATAGATAGATAGATAGATAGATAGATGATAGATAGATAGATAGATAGATAGATAGATAGATAGATGATAGATGTGTGATAGAGGAAGACAATGTCAACCCCTCCACACACATGCACATATATGTGCATGCACACTCACATGCATGTGTACATACATGACACTTGTATAACACAAACATACAAACACATAAAAAGTGACTATGGACCTTGAAGGAAAGGGGACCCCGCTGGGGTCGTCACATACCTCTATCACACGCCTGATCCCGTCGACGGTGTGCTCAGAGCCGCTGATTTCTGCGAAGTCCCCACCCCAGTGGAAGTGCATCTGCTCTGCTTTATACACAGTGCCGTTAGAGTCTTTCAGGCTCATGGTGGAAGGCAGGGTGATCTGCACTGCAGGAGAGAACACAGCGCAGGGAGGCTCAGACTCCCCAGTAAGCAGCCTCCCGGGTTATCTCCCACCCCATACCCTTCTGAGCTTGTGGCTGTGCTAATGAAAAGCCCAGGCCCAAATCTCTCTTGTCTCAGGACAGACAAGGGTACACAGAGAAAGTCTGTCTTGGTTAAAAAAAAGAAGAAGAAAATAAAAGAATAGAAAAAAGAAAGAAAGAAAAGAAGAAGAAAGAGATGTTGACAGTATAGCAGCCCTGCCCCAGTTCTGCCTTGCATGTGAAGGCCATAGGTTCTACTGTTAACCCTAGAAAACATTAACAACAACAAATTGTTTTATTGTTCTGCAAAAGACACCGGTCAGATAAGGAAGCATAGACGATAAACTATAAGAAAGGATTTATAAACATCTGATAAAAGTCTACAGAAGCAATGACTCAGAGGTTAAGAGCACTGACTGCCTTCCAGAGATCCTGCTTCAAGTCCCAGCACCCACATGGCAGCTCACAACCATCTGTAATTCCAGTTCCAAGAGAACAGTGCCCTCTCCTGGCCTCCACAGGCGCTGCACACACATGGTGCACATAACACATACAGGCAAACACACATATACATAAAAATCTTTACAAAAAAAAAGGGGGGGCTCTTAAAATTCAACAATAAGACCAGGCATGGCAGTGCCCACCTTTAATCCCAGCACTTAGGAGGCAGAGGCAGGTGGACCTCTGTAAGTTCGAGGCCAGCTTGGTCTACAGAGAGAGTTCCAGGACAGAAAAATCCTGTCTCGAAAAAAAAATCAGCAATAAGAAAACGAGCATGCTAATTTTGAAAATCAGCAAAACACCTAAGCAGACACTTTATCATTGAAGATATATAAGCTGGGCGTGTCTGCAGTCCCAACACTCAGGACGCCAAGACAGAAGGACCACTTGCACATGATTTTAAATCAACATGGACAACATGGAGACTCCTTCCCCATCTGTTACAGAAACAGTCCAGATGCCTGAGAGCTGACTCAGCAATTAACGCGGACTTAACAAGACTTAAGCAATTAACAAGGCTGCTTTTGTGGAGGACCCACATTCAATTCCCAGCACCCCTGTCAGGTGGTTCACAAATGCCTGTAGCTCTGGGAAGGAGCTGAGGCCCCTGGCATCCGAGGGCACCTGCACTCATGTGCCCAGACCCACATACACACACATACAGGCACATACACACACATGCACACACACATACATATAGCTGAAAATAATGAAATAACTCTTTAAAAATAGATGATAAATTTAGCCCAAAAGTATAACGCAGACTTAGCATGCACAGAGCCCTCCAATGCCTCAAAAGCTAGTAGTCTGTAGATCTTAGTAGTCCCAGCCACAGTACCTGGGCCACTCACAGGCATGGCTCTGTTCTCCTCTTACCACTCACCCGACCCATAACTGGAATTTGGTTTTGTTGTCTCAGTGAGGCAACACGCACCTGTGCATAGACAGTAAACTGATTCACTCAGGATCCAGGTACAATAGGGCTGAGAACCAAACATCTGGGTCTGTGTCACCCGGCCACTAGTGACTGTGATCTTGAGTGAACCCGTGGCCTCCTGAGACCTCAGGTTTCCTGCCTGTAAATGGCCTCCCTTAGTCAAGCGTTGGGGGTGGGTGCAGGCATCCAATCCCAGCGCTTGGGAAGTAGAGATGGGACAGCCAAGAGCTCGAGGAGCTTGGAGTCTGGCACCAACCATGGTTAGCTGAGCTCAAAAATCAAAGACAGGCTAAGGAGCGGGCTCAGTGGCTGAAGTGCTGAAGGGTCCACAAGCAAGAGGACCCGACTTTGGAACCCCAACACCTTCATAAAAATCCAGATACAGAGCTTCACACGTGTAATCCCAGCCCTAGGGGAGGTGACAGGCCAACCTAGCAGCCTGTCGAGCCAAGTCAGTGAGTGGCTGTCTCAAAAACTAAGATGGAGGGGCTGAAGGGATAGCTCGGGGGTCAAGGCACTTGGGGCCAAGCCTGATGACCTGAGTTTGAGCTCTATGGCCATCATAACAGGAGGAGGCACCGCTGCACACGTACAAATAAATAAATAGATGTAACAAAAATTTAAAAACTAAGAGCTATTGAAAAAGATACTGGATGTTAATCTCTGGATTTTATCTACATGTGCACATATGTACCTGTGTACCTACACACACGCATGCACGCACACACACATACACCCACACAATGCCCCCCTCCTGAGGTTGCTATGAGGTTCAAAGACAAATCTAGTGGAGAACCAGAAGGACACACTATGTGGGTATCACATCTGTCCTGAGAGGGCTCCCAAGATCCAGCTTTTCTTTCTCTCTCTCTCTCTCTCTCTCCCTCCCTCCCTCCCTCTCTAGAGAAACTGAGGGGAATTCTTTTTGAACCTTTGAGAAGCTGAATTATCTCTCAGGTGCTTGTAGCTAATCAGATTCCATACAGAAACTATAGAAACCCGGGGCACAACTGCATAAAAACAGTAGGGAAGGTAAACAGAGCCACCCTCTGTCAGAACTCCGTGCCGGGTAAACCGCAGTCACCCTCTGTCTGAACGCCCTGCCGGTACATCGGAACAAACTCAGGTAAGGGTCTTTACGTGTATTGTTTGGAGATCCACCTGCCTCTGCCTTTCAAATGTTGGAATTAAAAGTGTGTGCCCCCACACCTGGCAGGGTCTTTATCATTGTTGTTATTGTTGTTACTATTATAAATTTATTTGGGGGTGAGCGTGGGGGAATGACCGCCTTGGAGCCTGTGTGGAAGTCAACCGGCTTTTGAGAGTCGACTCTTTCCTTTAACAGTGTAGGTCCCAGGGACTTGAACACAGGTTTTCAGGTTTCAAAACAGGTGTCTCTGAGGAGCCCACAAGAGGTTGAATTTAGGGACAGCTGTTGCCCATCTCTGGAAGAGTCCCCGGGGTTTCTGCTAGCTGTGCTCTGGGTCTCCATACACGCTGCTCCCGGCATGCGCACAAACTACCAGCTTTCCACGCAGGCCCACTGCGCCCCCTTACCTGTGTGGCCGTTGTTAGTCATGGAGAACTCCAACCCATCCTCGCCGTAGCCACTCAGGGTCAGGGGCTTCAAGAACCGGTTGAACTTCACCTTCTTACTCTGAAGATTGATGGGCGACTGCCTCCGCCCACCGCAGTCAGGGTATGCCCTCGCCCAGTCGCTCTCTTCCAGGTTGCCCCCTGCAACAGGAGAGAGTGGAGCCCAGTTCAGAGCTACCCAGCTGACTTCCTAGCAGGTCAGGGTCTTCGGGGTGGAGGACCCGCAGGCCAGCCTTCTGGAAACAGAAGCAGAGCTTCCAGAGGGCCGGCCAGAAGAGCTCTAAACTAAGCCAAGGACTTGGCTTGGGGGGTGGCGATGGTGCCAACTCCCGACTCTTCTTTGTGTCTACTGGCACAAGAACCAGAGCTGATGATTCGTGTCCAGGGGTCTCCTCTGCAGAGTAGATAGCTGGCCCTCTTCTTTCCGGTATTCACGGCTGATGAATGCCCTGAAGGGAGCCTAGGCCTACCAATAACCCCTAACCTCATTTTCAGAGAATATAGATTTCCTTCCAAGCCTGGTGCTTGAGGCCCTGGCTTCCCTTGTGCTGGAACCTTCCACAGACAGCAGCTGTTTTCTTGTTCCAACCTCTTCTTTGGGCCGACAGGAAGGCCAAGACAAGACCACCTAGGTAACCACATGGATACAGGGCATCTGAGAAGCATCCTGTTAAAGGGTGGTACAGGCCTGGAATCCCAGCACTGGGGAGGAGGAGGCAGGAGGATCAGAAGCACCAGGTCATCCTTAGCTAGAAACCAAGTTTAAGGCCAGCCTGTGCAACATTCCAGCCCCTTGTAGCAGGTGTTTGCTCCACCCATGACCTTGGGCTCCCTGGCGTGTGTAGACGGTGCTTCTCACCTGCCTACAGGACCTCTTAAAAGGAAGGAGGGAAGGCCCAGCTAGCTCAGTTGGTAGAGCATGGGATTCTTTTATTATTATTATTATTATTATTATTATTATTATTATTATTTTAAAAAGAAAACAAAATATCTTTTTATTTTCCATACTAATCCCAGTTCCCATTCCCTCCCCTCCTCCTCCCACTCCCACCCCTCCCCCACCCAGTCACTTCTCAGAGCTGGTAAGGCACATTGCTTTGGGGAAGGTCCAAGGCCCTCCCTACTATATCTAGGCTGAGCAAGGTATCCATCCAAAGAGAATAGGTTAGAAAAGAACCAATACAAGCAGTAGGGATAAATCTTGGTGCCACTGCCATCCACATTCAGAGGGACTAGTTTGGACCTATGCTGTTTCCTTCCCTGTCCGGCTGGAGTTGGTGAGCTCCCATTAGCTCAGGTAGACTGTTTCAGTGGGGGTACCCATCATGGTCTTGACCTCTTGGCTCATATTCTCACTCCTCCTACTCTTCAACTGGACTTTGGGAGCTCAGTCCAGTGCTCTGCCTCTGTTTCCATCAGTTGCTGGATGAAGGTTCTATGGTGGTGTTTAAGATCATCATCAGTCTGACTACAAGGCAAGACCAGTTCAGGCACCCTCATGTCTATTGCTTGGGGTCTTAGCTGGGGTCATCCTTGTGGATTCCTGGGAATTTCTCTAGTGCCAGGCTTCTTGCTAGCCCCATAATGGCTCCCTCAATCAAAATGTCTTTTCCCTTAGTCTCATCTCTGTCCTTCCTTCATCCCATTCCCTCAAGTTCTCCTCCCCTCTCTCCTTCTCCCCTCATCTTCCCCTTCTGCCTTCCCTACTCCCCCACCCCCAGCGCATGGGATTCTTAATCCCAGGGTCATGGGTTCATACCCCACACTAGGCGCCACTTTTAGTGAGAAATCCATGTGTGTCTGTTTAAGGGGTATCAAGGATTTATTAAGATATAAAAGGGGGGCCGGGCGGTGGTGGCGCACGCCTTTAATCCCAGCACTCGGGAGGCAGTGGCAGGCGGATCTCTGTGAGTTCGAGACCAGCCTGGTCTACAGTGTACAAGAGATAGTTCCAGGACAGGCTCCAAAACCTCAGAGAAACCCTGTCTCGAAAAAAAAAAAAAAAAAGATATAAAAGGGGGGCTGGAGGGGACTGGAGAGATGGCTCAGTGGTTAAGAGCATTGCCTGCTCTTCCAGAGGTCCTGAGTTCAATTCCCAGCAACCACATGGTGGCTCACAACCATCTGTAATGAGGTCTGGTGCCCTCTTCTGGCCTGCAGGCATACACACAGACAGAATATTGTATACATAATAAATAAACAAATAAATAAATAAATAAATAAATAAATAAATAAATAAATAAATGGGGGAGCTGGAGAGATGGCTCAGTGGTTAAGAGCACTGGCTGTTCTTCCAGAGGTCCTGAGTTCAATTCCCAGCAGCCACACTGCGGCTCACAGCCATCTATAATGGGGTCTGCTGCCTTCTTCTGGCCTGCAGGCATATATGCAGACAGAACACTGTATACATATAAATACATTTTTTTAAAAAAGGAAGGAGGAGGGAGAACATGAGCAAGGAAGTCAGGACCGTGAGGGGCGCACCCACCCACTGAGACAGTGGGGCTGATCTATTGGGAGCTCACCAAGGCCAGCTGGACTGTGACTGGAAAAGCATGGGACAAAACCGGACTCTCTGAACATGGCGGACAATGAGGGCTGATGAGAAGCCAAGGACAATGGCACTGGGTTTTGATCCTACTTCATGTTCTGGCTTTGTGGGAGCCTAGCCAGTTTGGAGGTCACCTTCCTAGACCTGGATGGAGGGGGGAGAACCTTGGACTTTCCACAGGGCAGGGAACCCTGACTGCTCTTCAGACTGGAGAGGGAAGGGGAGAGGAGTGGGGGGACGGGGAGAGGAGTGGGAGGAGGGGGACTTTTTTTTTTCAATTAAAAAAAAGAGTTACTGCCATGTTGAATCAAAAAAAGGAAAAAAGATATAAAAGGGGAAAATACACTCACAAAGATGGGATGTGATAAATCCAGTTGCCCAGTCCTTGGAAAGTTGGGGTCCAATCACACGCTGTTTCACGTCACCTGATCCAGTCTTCATCATCCAAGAGAATGCATTCCCTGCCCTCCTTCCTTTTAAGAGGCCACTCGGGCCGGATAACCCAAGGTCATGGAGAGAGCGTACACGCACTACAATACTGTCTTAGAAAGCAACACAAACCAATAAACTTTGAGGTTCCAGCTTCTCAGGGGGCTGAAGTGAGAGTTTTTTTGTTGTTGTTTTGGGGTTTCAGTTTTTTATTTAGTTTTTATTTTTTTTAGAGGCAGGAAGCTCTTTTGAATCCAGGTGTTACCTGTTTTATGAAACATTTTACAATGTAGTCCTGACTGGTCTTGAACTTGTGGCAATCCTCCTGTCTCAGTCTTTGGGGTTTTGGGATTACAGTCCTGTTATACCAGGTATAAATGAGCCCAGAGGTTCAAGGCCAGCCTGGGCAATGTAATGAGATAGATACTCTCTTTAAAAAAAGAAGAAAAGAGAGAGAAAAGAAGGAGTTTTGGAGGGAGGGAGGGAGGGAGGGAGGGAGGGAGGGAGGGAGGGATGAAGGAATGGAGGGAGGTAGAGAGATAGAAAGAGAGAGAAGAGAAGGGAGGGAAGGAAGAAGGGAGGGAGGAAGGGAGAGAGGAGAGAGAGAGAAAGAGAAGAGAAGGGAGGAAGGGAAGGAGGGAGGGGGCTGCAAAGTTATCTTTTTGGAGATGGTTAATAATCCTGGGGTCAGAGGAATGTCAACCAGTCACTACAGATGACTGAGGGGTTTGGTTTTGGTTTATAAGACAGGATCTCTCTATGTAGCCCAGGCTGTCTTTGAACTCACTGTTAGCCAGGCTGGCCTGAAACTCAGATCCACCTGCCTCTGCGTCCTGAGTACTGGGATTAAAAGCGTTTGCTATCATGGTTCAGCCGTCTGCAGTCGAAGACCTACCTGCAAGGGTAGCTCTCCGTGAGTGCATGGTTTGTTCTAGGTAGGAACTGAGCTCCAGCCGGGGCTTCATGATTCGCAATCCACAGAAAAGTTGATTCTCTTCTCGTCCCATTCAATCATTCAAACCAATTTTTAAACAATTCTTTCTTGGAGGTGAAATACCAAGATCAAGGAAAGAGGCCTGAGGCACACCCTTCTGTGACCCAAGTGCTTTGGGTCTGGGTCTCATGGACGCTGGGAAGAAGCCAGGGGCTCAGCTCAACAGCAGAGCCTGCCCAGCATGCACAAGGCTCCAGTCCTAGTGCTAGGGGAGGGAAAACGTGGGGCGGCTTACACATTGTCCTCCTGGGCACCCTGCGTCCTCCAGGCCTCTGGACACCAGGGCCAGTCTGGGAGTCTTTGCTACCATAAGGAAGACAAGAATTTGCCACCAGAACTATCTGTCTTCTGTTACCTCTGCACCACTGCCGGTAAGACTGCTTGGTGACACAGGTATGGGCTCCTTTTAGGACAGGATTGTTAATGGGGCTGCCCTATGAATTGGATTATCTGAGCCTCTACAATGTCCCTGAATCTGTCACCTTGATTTAGGACTCACAATTCCCTCTGAATGATCAAGCCATGCAGGGCAGACTTTGTCCTGTGCAACTCTGGCCTCCTGAACCATCCAGCGGTCTCCAGTCTCCCCCAGAAACCCCGACTCCCAACCTGGTTCTATGGGGATACAAGTGGGAAGATTCTCAAGTTCCCTTTGTGCAGTCTGACTGGACATCTCAAGGTCAGGTTCTGCAGAAGGCAAGGCATCCTCCATTGGATCCTGGGGGGACTGGGAGTAGGCACATGTCTGAGGAGAATGCTCTCTGTGGTCTAGTGGTCTTTTCTATGAGGCCATAGGTGTCCTTTCTAGAAGTCTCATTTGTCACACATTTGGATAACAACAGCTTTATAAGAAGACGTGGGTTCTTGGAGCAGCCAATACTGAGTGGAACAGATTTTAAAGCTGCCAGGTGAAGCTGGGCTGAGGCAGGGGAGCGCTGTCTTTTCTTCTCCTTCATCAGGGTTGAAAGTCTATTTGTTCATTCAGAGATAGCAAAACACATGTGAACCCAAAGAGCAGGTGGATCCCACCAGAGGACCCACACCCAGCACTGGAGGGATGGCTTGTCACCCTGTCTGGAAGTGCCAGGTGGCTGCTTACCTGAGTAGGTCCAGTGAGTCTCGGCCTGGATGCCCAGGAGGAACAGGGACACCACAGTCACCAGAACCCTCATGGTAGATGCTGAAGGCCTGAAAGCAGCAAAACTCGGGGCAGCCCTTCTTTTAAGAGCCCAGAAACTGTAAATAACAATTTACCGGGTCCAGCTGGCTGATCCGCCCTTGCTGCACCCACTGAACAATAACACCCTCCCCACAATGGCCCTTCTGACTTGGTGCCTTGTGCACGTGTCTCACCTCCTCCCAGGGCATTACCATAGCCAATTAACCCATGTCTGGTTGTTCAACATCTTTGGAAGCTCAGTCCAGGGGCCACACAGTGCAGCCATTGTGGGCCTTGAGTGATGAGTGATCTGGAGGGATATGAAGAGCCCAAGGCACAGCGCACCCCGGAAACAGAGGCTTCCTGGAGGGTGGCATTTCCTCTGCCCTTTCTCCTGGCTGTTGGGGGGAATCATCGGTGTCTGAAAACCTTGCCAGATTCTAGTTGGTATTTCCTGCCTGTTCCAGAGTAGACAGAACATCCCTAGTGATTCAGGCTTGCCTACTCCCTTACACACACACACACACACACACACACACACACAGCCAGCTAGGCAACTGGGAAGATAGTCTGGTACCCTAGATAGCTTTGGGCAAGAAATGGAAAGGGCAGCTGGAGGCAGGGATAGGGTTATCCTCAACCTAAATCAGCCATCAGCCTGGGACCTTGGAGCCTGGTTCTTGAGCTTGATCTGCACACAGGCCTTGGGGCTATTGGGGAGGAGGGGGTGGAAGAGGTCTGGATCAGTTCTCACGTTTCCCCTGGGATTTGTCCTGACAGTGCCGTACACTTGGGCACACCCAAGCCCAACCAATGAGTTGTCTAATCCTTGTACATCCACGTGGCTAGTGCAGGAGAAACGAGCCTGTATGCCTGCTGAGAAGCCAGCATTTCCCATGCCTTTCAGAGTGGCAAAGACGTAGGGCAGGTGGGGCTCCCAGAGGGCATCTGTCATGCTGGCCACTTGCGAAGAACTGATCTGCTCTGGCAAATGGCAAACCCCCTCACCAGTTTCCTTTATCTCCCTGCCCGCTCGTCCTCAGTTTGAGAGATGTCAAAATGGTAGCATGAGGTCACAACAGCTGTATGAGAAGCAGTGGGGTTGCACACTGCAAAGACTTCTCTGCATCCCTTGCTGTGAAGACCCCCCATAAAGCTCAAGACATCAAAGAATCTCAAGGAAGCAGTTACCTGTCTGTGCCTCAGTTTCCCCATCTTCAATAGGAGCTCTCTACAGTACTGCCCCCTCACACACACATCCAGGAATAAATTTATGCGCAGTACTCAAAGCAGGGCCTGATACATAGCAACTGGCATTATTTTTGAATTTCTCATTTTATGACAAGGAGGTGACTTGCCATTGTCACCCAACTAGTGATTGAGGGACCAGAGGGTACAAAGCACTTGCTCTTCAGCTCATCGAGTTTCTTTTCTTTTTTTTTTTTTTTTTTTTTTTTTTGAGACAGGGTTTCTCTGTGGCTTTGGAGCCTGTCCTGGAACTAGCTCTGTAGACCAGGCTGGTCTCGAACTCACAGAGATCTGCCTGCCTCTGCCTCCCGAGTGCTGGGATTAAAGGTGTGCGCCACCATCGCCCGGCTAATAGAGTTTCTCCAGGTTCAAAGCACACTGCCATCTCAGCTAAGTCAGTCTTGCCTGCTTTGCTGAGCCCCTGGCCCGGCATAAAGGGCCACCTTGTTATTGATCCCATGTCCTTGTTGACCCCATGAACCTCCAGCTCTGCTGAAGAGTTTAGCAGAGATCACCACAATTGGGAAACTGAGGCAGGAAGAGTGCTGTGAGTTTCAGGCAAGATGACTGCCAGGAGGATGAAGCCAGCCTGGGCTACAGAATGAAACCCTGTCGCAAGGAGGGTCGGGGGCGCTGGCTAGAGAGATGGCTCAGCTGTTCAGATGGAAGCTACTTCTTGCAGAGGACCCAAGTTCAGTTCCCAATAGCCACATCAGGTAGCTCACAACCTCTTGTAACTTTAGTTCCAGAGGATCTGCTACTCTTCCAGGCTCTGTGGGCCTTGGCACTGGCACACACGCGCACACACACAAATAGATAGATAGATAGATAGATAGATAGATAGATAGATAGATACCAGAAGAAAAAGAGATGAGCATGCTATTGAGACTTGGGGATACAGCTCAGTTGGTAGTTCTTCCCTGGCACGCACAAGTTCCTGGTTCAGTCCTCACCATCGCATAACCCTGGTGTAGTATCATATGACCGTACTCAGAAGTTCAAAACCATCCTGTGTGTACTGAGTTTGAGGCCAACTGAACGACATGAGACACTGTCTCTAAAAAAAAAAAAAGGGGGAATGCAGATTCTCACCAACTCCAGACTGGAAAACACAAAACCCATCTCAGGCTGGCCCTGAACTCAGACCCACCTGCCTCTGCCTGCAGAGTGCTGGGATTAAAGGCGTGCAGATTTGCCTTGGAAATTTGCATGGGCAAACTGTGTAGCTGAGGGTCGGGGGCAGTGGATCTGGGGAGATGCTGGAGTGGAGGGAATTCAGCAGGCTGGGCCTTGGAAGGGCAAGAGTGCCCAAGGAGGGAAAGAGGCAGAGGAGAGACCAGAATATTTCTGAGGCAGGAGGACTCCAGGAAGTGGCAAAACAGCAGATCGTGTTCACCACTCCCTGTAGCTCCCAGCCTCACCTCATCTCGCCTAAGGTTTGGCAATCCTGAGATTAGCATTTTGGGGTTGCAGGACAGACAGCCTTTGTGCTGTACCCACTCCCATGTACAGCTGCTCGATGCTGGCCTGTGTTAAAGACAGCAATTAAATTAATAAAGGGAGTAGAGCTGACCAGCTCCTGAAATCCAGGAGCCACCTGCTAACAAGAGCACATCACTAGAGATGGGGTCCCCTCCCTCTTTCGGGGGTCATTACTTCCCATTACTTAGCACAGAATAAGATAATGTCAATTTTGTTGCCTAATTTCTGACTCACTGTCTTCTTTGATCCTAAAATTTTCCACCCATCGACTTTGAACAGAAATATCTTGCTTCTTGTGTTTGTGGGACGTGCGTACGTGTGTGTGACTCTGTGTGTGTGAGTGTGTGTGTGTGTGTGAATATAAACTCCTTCTATCCTCACACCATACCCCCAGCTCACTGAAGCTTATTTGTATTCTGAATTCTTGTTTTCCACAGCTCATCGTTTGATTGACAGTTTGAGATGAGCTGACAGGGGGATCATTTTCATCACAATGAAAAGTTAAGAGTGAGAAAGGAGTCTTTGTGTTTTCTGCATTTATGACTATCTGTTCCATGGAAAGGCCCCAAGAGGGGAAGAAGAAGAAGAGAGGGAGGCATAGTCACCCCAGGTGATACGGAAGTGACAGCAGCCCAAGTAAACAGACTCCACCTGCCCAGGTGGAAGGGCCATGTGCTCAGCCCACATCTGTCCACACATGGATCAGGGAGGTGATCAAGGAAGGTGAGCACAGGTGAGCTGGAAGAGAGCCCAGGAGCGAACACACCAGGTCATACAGGACTGACATTAGCTGTTTCATACAGGACTGTGAGCACACAGGGAGCCTAAAGGCTGAGCCCTTCTGCACAGTGGGTTCCCTGCATCATTTGGTCCCAGCACAGAAGCAAGATGTTTGATCTCTCCCTACTGAAGTCCTCTTGCTTGGTTTGCTGTTTTCATCCAAGACAGAGTCTTTACCTGCATCTGGCTCTTCTGGAACTCACGATGCAGCCTGAGCTGTCCTCAAACTTGCTATAGTAGACCAGGTTGGCCACGAACTCAGAAGTCCACCCACCTCTGCCTCCTGAGCACTGGAATTAAAGGTGCAGGCTACCACGCCTGGTGAAGCCTGCTTTCTTAATCCTCTTTGAGAACATCTCTAAGCTTTACTGAGCTGGAGGTTCAGCAGGGAACTTACCTAGGGCACAAGGCTCTAGCTGGATACCTAGGGGGAAAATGAGTAACTTTCTTCTGTTTAAGGTAGGGCCTCATGCACCCAAGGCTGGCCTCAAACTCACTGCGTAGCCTAGGATAAGCTTGAACTTCTGATCTTCTCTCTACTCCCAAGTGCTAATTCTAAGCGTGTCTGTGCCTTCATGATTTTTTTTGGTGTGTGGGGGGGGGGGGGGGTGTCAAACCTAAGGCATGCTGGGTAAGAACTCTACCAACTGAGCTACATCCCCAGGCCTGGCATACTTTCCTTCCTTCCTTCCTTCCTTCCTTCCTTCCTTCCTTCCTTCCTTCCTTCCTCCCTTCCATTTGTTTGGAAACAAGGTCATACCGCGTAGCTCTGTCTGTGTCCTGGAACTGGTCTATAGACCAGGCTGGCCTTGAACTCACAGAGATCCACCTGTGGTGATGAACTTGCTCAGTTTCAGAGACCACTGGTCTCATGTGTTCTAGAACTCAGCACCTGTCATAGGGTTTCTTTCTTTCTTTCTTTTTTTTTTTTTTTTTGGAACCTGTCCTGGAACTAGCTCTTGTAGACCAGGCTGGCCTCTAACTCACAAAGATCTGCCTGCCTCTGCTTCCCTAGTGCTGGGATTAAAGGTGTGTGCCACCCAGCTTGTCATAGAGTTTCTATAAGCAGGCATAGCCTCCATCTGATCAGTTCTTCCTGGGCATGGTGGCACACATCTGGAATCCAGCAATCAGGAGATGGGGGCAGGAGAACCAAGAGTTTAAGGTCACCCTCGCTATATAGTGATTTAGAGGCCAGGCTGGAAGACAAGGGACTCTCCTTATAAACAAAACAGACCCAGGCATGGTGGCACATGCCTTTAATCCTAGTACTTAGAGGGTCAGGTAGGAGGATTTTTGCAAGTTCAAGGCCAGCCTGGTCAATGTAGTGAGTTCAAGGCTAGTCTGGGCTACACAGTGTCTCAAGAAAACCAAACAAAGAAGAGGGCTGTGGAGGAGGCTTCGGGAATCAGAGCACCTCCTGAACAAATAAGGAAGCATGAGTGTGAATCCCCAGTGCCCACTTTATAAACAGCTGTGCAGGGCCATATGTACCCCCAGAAC